GTTGAAACATTACCAATTTCATCACGATAATAAATATCACGAGCAGAAGCTGGTAATGATGTCTATTAAAAAATGACAGAAAAAAAAAACATGAAATTTTTTTTGTCTTCGAATAAAGTCTTTTACTTTGAATGTTTTTACAGCTGAATAACTATCTTGTCGTCGTTGATAATCAAGTCTTGAAAAAGGTCCTTTTAATTTTGCACCACTATGATATATATCAACAGTTTCTTCAACAGCGATATTTCCCCAATGTGATATTTCAATCCACCGTTTTAAATTACTAACAGTTAAAAATGGATTATTATTTTCATAATGTAATGATATATCATTTCGTGTAAATGGTGCAATATTTTCATATGAACCATAAGTTATTGTTTGTTCATTTTTAGCGACAGGTTTTGGTGTTTGTGTATACGATTCAGCACGATCTGTTGGTAATGTAACAACAGTTTTTTGTGTTTGTGTTGTATAACTTGAATAATAATAAGCATTTGTTTTATATAAAACTAATTGTCGTTCAGTTTGTGTTACTTCTGCTGGATACATACGAAGTGCATGAGCATGAACAACTTCTATTTCAAGTGTTATTGTTTGACCAGCACGAAGATCATTTGGTAATTCAATACGATAAACAGCTCCTCTATAAAAATAGTGCAATCTCTTTGGTATTAAAATTTGAAACATAATGTAGTTACTATTGTTACATACTTTGTCTTATCAGTAGCTTCTTGTTTTATTGGTAAACCAGCTTGATCATCATTATCTTTACCTTTTACCTTAAAAAAAGACAACAAAATTTATTTCCATACAATGAAATTAAATCATCTCTATGAATTCATTCTAAAGATATATGTTTAAGTATTGTTACTTAATTAATCAATGTACTTAGGGTATACCAAAAGTTCTGGTCACGGCATTTAAAGGATCTTTTCGAATAAGGAAACCCATTGAGAAATAAAAAAATCAAATATACCATGTAAGATGTGCCGATTGGTATATAGTGAATCTTGTTTTCATAGGACTTTAAAGGACCTAGAGTCAATTTACTGATAGACGGCTACACACCCACGCGGACAAGATGATCGGAGATACTACATATAGGAGATTGTAGCTCGTGAAAAACTCTACAGAATCGTATGTGAGAACAAATATTTTTGACTAATACCAAAGATCACCATATTCAGAAACTTATCATGCTTGGGTATGAATATGTAGTTTCTTTAAAGTACGCCTCTTAAAAAGCTCTACAACATGATATATTTGGTTTTTCATTTCTTAATAGGTTCCCTTATCCGAAAAAATCCTTTAAACGCCGTAACCAGAACTTTTGGTATGTCTTAAAGTATTTTATTTTGTTTTCTCTAATGAAAATTTATTTCTTTTTATAGAATCACAAAAAATTCTAATTAACTTACATTAGCTCCAACCCAAGCAACATTATTAACATGTTGTGGTTCAACATAATAATCATAAGAACGTATTCCTTTTGTTCCTCGATTTTCAATTGTTACACTTATTATTTCTTTTGGTAAATGTGAAACAAGATCAAGAGTTCGTTCAACATTTGTATTGACTAAATTATCTTGTTCTTGTCCAATAACAAAAACAATTGCAAAAAGTATACAAAACAATGATATACGGATCATCTTAAATAAAAAAATAAAATTTAATTTAATTCATCATGACAATAAAATATTGAAGAAAAACATTCGATTCAATTTACGTTGCATCGTACTGTAAATCCTCTTTCCAACGACTACTAAATGGTGACAGCGCGTCGGACGAGGGAAAGAAGAATTAATTGACCAATGAGAAATTATTTTTTAACCTCAAAATATTAATGATTTATCGTTTTAAAAATATTAAAATAGTTACCAAAAAAATAATCCATTAATTTTCTTAATATAAATATCAAATCATCAGTTGTAGTCAAAATGCATAAGTGTATAGAGAAATCAAATGCATAATGATGCCGCTAGGTGATACATAGTATTGTTGATAGAACGATTGTCATGAATGAGATAGTAAAATCTTTAACATCATTTATTTTTAATGATCCTTGTTTGATTATGAAGTTATCAAGAGAAGTGGGTTTTTTTCATCAAAAATAAAGATATAAGGGCAACCTTCGAGTTTCTCAAAAACGACTCGATTAAAAGTGTTATGAAACTTTCTGGGTAGATATATCTGGAAATTATCCTAGACTCACAATTCCAAGATGCTTCCTTCGCTGAGGAAATCCAATTTTTTTTGCCTAGGACAAAATTTTAAGATCTGCCAAAAATCATAAGAACATTATTTTAGGAAAAAAATAGATATATACATCCCCGATTTGATCCTAGTTATCACACAAAAAAATTTCAGCTCAATAGATCAAAATGTCTGAGAAAAATCCAAAATATACAATTTTCGGATCACGAAATGTACTCAGTAGATATTGGATAACGAAAAACGATGGATGTGTCTTTAATAGAAAATTTTCTAATAACATCATTTTCATAGAGAAAAAGAAAATAAAATTATTGAAACCATTTCAGGTACAAGTTTTATTCGTAGTACATCGTATCGAACTCACTTTCAAAAGAGATGCTAGAAAAAGAGCTTAATATAATTCATATTCTTTAGCTTTTAATAGTAATATATTTACTCATATTGGCTATTTAATATACAAAATTCACGATTTCTTCTAAGTTTCATACCTTAAACTCTCTCCCATATTAGGAGCCCAAGGCTTGTATTATATCCAAGAGTTTTTTCAAAGTCGGTCTTCCTCTCAGCACTGATAGTTTACATTGGTAAGCACTCTGCATGTGAAAAAGTGAATAAAATAGTATGTTTCTATTATTTATTTATATTAAATTTCACAGAGTGTTGTACGATTATTTGAACTTATCATAAATAGATAGTCAGGATGATTGAAACGATGACTCCATTATATACTTTTCAAAATTTCTATACGATAGTCATATTAGTAACCCACCCCATAATAGAAGCTCCCTTCAAAAACTTTGAACAGTGGACAGTTTAGAAGCCCATGGGAGCTTCTATTGTGGAAGGAGATTTACAATTAATTGTTAAGTAATTGATACTTTCTTTACATATCTATGTAAAACAAAAAAGGAAGGATGTATCTGGCTTATCCTGTCTACCCAAGCTAAATCTTGTTTGTTGCTATATACGATCAAACAATTTCTATTTGATTAGTCGGTCAAAAAATTTGATAAAATATCTTCTGAAAACATGCAAAGACTATGTACTTAATTATGTAATGAAATGAATCGAATGTATTTATTAAGTACTGTACTTAATGTACGTTTAATATCTAATTTGAAAAACCTAAACATGTTCAAAAAAAAACTTTCTATAAAGATTTTATAGCTTCAGAAGTTGTTTATATAATGTACTGTCTCAATTCAGAATATATTTTTAAATTAAAACTTATGATGTGAAAGTCGATATGCTTTCATACACATAGAAAAATTACCTCTAGGAAAGTTCATTATCCTGAGATACACATGTTTTTGACTTTGCCCGCATATGTAATGATTAGAAAGAACTCAATGATTTTGTTTTTTTTTTATTGATAAATATAGGATATCATCATCACAAAAAAAAGAAATGACAATGATAGATTCAATATTTATAGTTCATGAATGCATATTAACTGGTTGTTGTTTCATAGAATATTTCGATTTATTTGTGAAAAATAAAATAAAAAAAATTTATGATGAATGACGATGATGATCATTTGTAATAAAAGCAAATGATTGATAATTTTTATTAAGAGTAGTTAATGTTTGTTGATATTTTGGTAAAAATGTTGAACAAGTTGTTGTTGTTATAAATTCATTTGATGTATTTTGAAATTTTTTTAAAATTAATGATGATGTATGTTGAGATTTATATGAAGATAAAATTAATGGTAATGTTTGACTATGTGATAAATATATTTTTGGTTTTATTATAGTTTTATTAATAATAGAATTTATTTGAGGTGATATATCTGTTGTTAATGTAGATATTGGAATTTCTAATGATGATTGATTTTTTTTTTTATTTTGTTCTTGATATATTTCAATAATTTGTAATATAATAATAATTAACATTGTTCCCATATAAAACATAAATATACTTACAGCTATATAAACAAGTGAAAAATGTTCGGGATGATCTTGAGCATATACAACACAAAAAATTGCAATACCAGCAAGAATAAGATTTAATATTCCAAGAATATAAACAAAATATTGAGCAAACATTATTTTCGATTGAACAAATTTTGTTTTTGTCATTTAAAAGAAATATTTTAATATATTCATATTATGTTTTGATATATGAGCTGATGAAAGTTCAATGTGAATAGACTTCATCATGTCATGCTGCTTCTCCTTATATGTATGAACTTGTTAATAACTATAGTTCTATTCAAAGCATCAAATATCATATGACATAAAGAAAATATTTTTTGTAGTCTATATTTTGTTTAGTATGTATAGTACATCAATTAGTTTTAATTATAGAAATATTATCAAAGATTTATCTGTTATTTTTGTATTGTTAGAAAGTTATTTCAAGAAATTTTTCGAAATGATTTTTTTTTTTTTTTATAGTGAAAGATTAAAAAAACAACAACACTAATGAGATCGTTCTACGCATAGTAAGAAACACTGTCAACTAATCGATCTAGTTTAAATTTTATACATATTGTATTTATTTGAAATTTGATCTTCTCTCATTTTCTTTTTTCATGGTTACTGTGATGATTTGAAAATCATACGAATGATTTATTTTAAGGTCAAGAAAAAAAAAAGAAAAAGAAAAGAACAATTTTTATTATTTACACCGATAAATAAATAAAAAATTCAATTGATACGACATTTGTCATAATAGTTACAGATTTTTTTGGAACATGTCACATGCTATTAGATCGTTTACATAGACCTCGAAGTCTCTTCTTCTTTGTCTTTCTCTACTTTGTCTTAAGACATTGAGAAGTGATGTTAATAGCAGATGTAAGTCTTGCTTGTTTAATTACGTCTATGCCTTTCAACCATAACTCCAATGAAGCATGTATACATTACACAAAACAAAGCGATGCACATGTGCCTTACATGCCAATTACTGAGTCTTCATATTATTGTAGAATTGGCGTAATATATAGACAAAAGTATTCGTAAAAACAGAAAGAAATGTTTGGCAGAAGAGTAAGGCCTAGACGTAATTGATACCAATCATTTCTATATATACAAACACAACTGTTACTGAAACTAGAAAAAAAAAAAGGAAAGAGAGAGAGTCCAAGATCGAACTATAACTACAAAATATTATATTTTTATTGTTATAAACGAATAAAAAAAGAAAAAGAAATCAATTTACTATGAAACAAAAATATTTTATTTTAATAATTATTATTTTTTTGTTTATAAATTTTTTACAATGTACAGAACAAGATTTGATTGAACAGGTAAAATAATTTGAATATTATTTTTCTTAACCAAGATTGACAACGATAATATGTTATTATTATTAGTTACAGAAAAAAAAAAATGATTATAATACGTAAATGCAATCAATGGATAAAGTCAGCTGCTTATCATTTTCTTCTTTTCCCTTATGAGAATCAGATAACTAAGTAATATAATAATATCAATTAGATTTATTTTACAAGGATTATTTTTATTAAATTAAATATTTAATTGTTCATTTGAAATTTTAATTTCAATAGAATAATACATCAAATGAAGTGATAACATCAATTCAAGTGTCATTACCAACAACAACAACAACATTATCCATGAAAGAGAGAATGCAGGTATGATTCTCTTAATCAGTTTTTTCTTTTGTTGTTTTTTTATCAATCAAAAGATCGAAAAAAAAAATCAAAGATAAAAAAAAATCGAATCTAGTTATTTTTTTATTTCAGAAATACCTCAGAACAGCAATATTGAAAACGAAAGTAAGTATATATTCACACAAATGTCTGCATGTAATAGTAACAGATAAAGACTGACAGTTGACTCGAATAACATAATAAAATATTAAAAAACATAATTCCAGGTCTCGATTGTACATCGTTATCTGAAACTGTTGATTATATATATTAAGAAGGTTCTTTTTATAGAAAGAAACAGTGAAAGGAAAAGGTCTTTTTGACTGTACTTATCTATTTATATATATATATATGAAAGTTATAAAAGTAGGCCATTGGGAAATTATATATGTAGATACGATGTAAAGATAATTGTAGAACTTATAATTAAATAAATATATGGTTTTTCTAGTTTTATTAGTGCTATATATTTTTGAAAATTCTTATCTGACTTGTCGGTTAACAAAAATGAAAAGAAGAATATATCTATTAAGTAAAATATTCTTCTTCTAGATTTTATCTATTAGTTAATAGGTATAAATCATTAAACGATAACATCTGGATTGATTTATCTTCTTCTTCAATTTCAAGATGTAAATTGTTAATATATAATTAAATCGAAATTTATTTATATTCTTATTAAAAATCTGTAATGTTTGCTTAGTAAGATTGTATTTTCATTGAAAACTTTTCAATAATAGAATATATAGATAATCATCTATTTCTTCATCCTAATATCCAGTGGATTCGTCTATCATCTACTAGTTCTGATTAATCTTTCGTCTTATCAAAGAAAAGATAAAGCATAAATACATATATATATATATATTATGTTTTTCTACAACTTGATGTATTCAGTCAACTGTCGGATAGACTTTTATTATTACTATTATTGTTTTTCATTACTATAATTATAAATTTTAGACAATGAAATCGAATAATATGACAAGTAATAGTACAATATCAAACAAGGTAAATTTTCATTATTATTTGTTTTTTTTTTTTGTAATTAATAATTAAAATTTTCTATAGACTATTGTTACTCCACCAAATAAAATTTTTCGTGAATATTTACGTTGTCGTCATTTGAGTTCACTCAATGGATTACCTTGTAAATTTGATGTTTGTTTTTTTTTTTAAATTTTATTATTATTATTTTTGTATAGCACCATATTCATGTCCATATGAATTTGAAGAAGATATTCTTGTTTGTTGGCCAGCAACATTTAATGGTACAATGGCATCAAGTATTATTGAATATGATCATGGTCAAAATCAATTTTATGATGGTGTTCGTTATGGAATAGAGAATTGTTTGTTTTGTTTTATTTTGTTTTCTTCTTAGAATTAATTGATATTATAATTCTAGGTACTTTGGAACGTTTTTGTCAAAGTAATGGAACTTGGGCAATGACTATTTCACCAGATATTCAATGTAAATCATGTGTTGGTGATGGTCGACCAGTTAAAGTAAATAAAATTTTAAAATTATTATTATTTTCTTTTTTACTTATCTTTTATTTTCATATAAATTTAGTTTAATTCAATTAGTATTATGATAGAAACAATGAGTTTAAGTTTATCTCTTATATCATTAACAATTGCTATTTTATGCATGATGAATGTCAAGTATGTTTCGTATTTTTATGTACTTAGAAAATTTTTCAATTAAATTTATCTAATATGAATGGATATTATTATTCATCATTTCAATCTTCTAAATACCATTTTTTTTTCTTTTTTGTTATTCCTTATAATATATTACTTATTTACAAATACTATCTATTATTTAGACGATTACATTTACCTCGAAATCTGCTTCATATGCATCTATTTGTTGCTTTTATTTTTCGTTCAATTGTCAAATTAGTTTTTATTCATCTTATTATTGGTGGTTATACACGTACAATGATATCATATACACAAGATAAATGTGGAAATATAGAAATACTTTCAAAATCATCAAATTTATTTCATGTAAGTTTATTATTTTGTTATGATGTAATAATTAAGAAGAAAAAATAAATAGATTCTAAGTTGTTTGTAGAATTTCAACAGTTGCAAGAAGATCTTTGCTCTGCATATCAGAAATAGGAGAAAATACACCTATCTTTTCGGTATGGAATGTACTATAACAAATACTAACTGTAGCTATGGATACAGAAGGTCAGCCTAATGCAGAATTCTTGAGCTTCTTGTACACAGTAATTAACCATAAAAATAGGTGTATATTACAACATAGCCAGTGTACAATTGGATGGGTGACTTGTTCAGGATTATTTCATGACGTTTGAAAACAGTACTTGGTAGATATATGTCAAACAATCCAGCTACTTACAAGGAAACATTCTCAAGTGATTCGCTCCGTTTGCTGTCATATTATGCCCAAATGTAGGGAATCAAATAGATTAGAATAATCTCCATATAGTTCATGTTCTTATTGAAATTTAGCCGAGATACCAAATTTTTAGGTGATTTTTCTTAACTAATCTTAACACGACCTCCATGTTGACAAAATTTCAGATTGAAATTCGAAGATATGATTTTGCTCCAAAACTAATCTCTTACAAAAAAAATCAACTGAAAAATCCGATATCTCGATGAAAACAAACGGAGCGAATCAGTTGTGAATATTCCGGAGTTAGTCATGCTGGTCATACCAGAGTTGAGATAGGTTCGGTTCAATTCCAAAACCATCTCTACTATATACGATGATTTCATCTGCATTATTATTATGTTTGCCAAGAGTATTTATATGCTCCGATTGTCTTCTTATAATAAAGGAACTACTTCCTTATTGCATTTCTGAAGAAATGTATCCCGAAATCGATAGAATAAAATAATCTTCTTGTGATCAGCGAGAATAACTGCATCGTGTTTTACATTTGAATCCCGCGGGGATTACGCTAGAAGCCTTTTTTTTTTGAATAAATAAAAACAGAAAAGAAAATTATATTTTATATCTTAATGGATAGTCTAAGATCATTGTTTGTTTTTATTAAAAAAACGAAAATCTATAAAATATTAATTATGTCTACGGATGCATCGGTGGCGATGATCACCGATCTTCTGTTCACTTCTAATATCAATGCATTAACCGTAAGAATTAAGCTTTTTTTTTTGAACGAGAATTTTGACAAATCACCTAAAGATTCGAATTGCAAAAATTGAAATCAATTCAAAATCACTATAATTTTATTATGCATTCATCATTGCATCTCTAATTTTCTAAATTTATATTTAATTTCTTTAGGTAATTGGTTGTCGAATATTATCTTCCTTATTTTGGTATACAGATGCTGTATCACAAACATTTATATTTTGTGAAGCAATGTTTTTATTTACAGCTTTAACTAGTCATTTATTTCGTGATCGTGGTTGTTTACCATTTGTTTTATGGGGTTGGTTAAGTCCATTATTATGGTTAACAATGTGGATTGTATCACATATAATAATAGATAAAATAAAACAACGATCAACATGTTGGTTAGAAGCAGATAATACAACATATTTTTATTATTTTTTCTATGTTCCATATGCTTTTTATTTACTTATTAATTTTGGAATATTTCTTTATCTTGTTCGACTTCTTTATTCAAAATATCAATCATTAAATGTTCAAACAAATCGTACAGGAAATCGGTTTGTAAAATATTCATAGTTTTTTTTTTGAGTAAATTTTCTTTTTTTTGTTTTTTAGACATTTAATTAAATCTATTCTTATATTAATTCCATTATTTGGTCTTCATTCATTATTTGTTATATGGGTTTTTTATCATAAAAATCAAGGACATACAATTTGGTATTATGTATCAGTTATATTCAAAGCTGTTTTTGGTGATTTACAGGTAAAATTAAAATAATTAATTCTTAAAAACAAAATTCTTTATTTTATTTTCTAAGGGTTTTTTTACATCATTAATTTATTTTTATTTTAATACTGAAATACGTTATGAAGTTCTTCGACAAGTTCAACGAGCAATTATAAGTAATGAAACTGTTCGACGTAGTTCAGCTGGTGATACATTATCAACACGTTTATCAACATTTCGTCGATCAATAAGTCGACAGCGTCATCCATCAATACCAAATCGTAATGAAAGACGTCGTATGAATATTTCATATCGAAATTCATCATCAATAATAAAATCTAAACATGAAACATGGTGGAGAAAATGTCTTATATCAATTTGTCCGTGTCTATTAATTGAAAAAAAACATTTTCAAGAAGAAGAACAACAACGACAACAACAACAACAACAAATTGAACAAAATCATTTAAATGAAATAATACCAACTATAATACCTGAATTAATTGTTGTTGATGATAATCATTGTGGTGTATCATCACCATTAATTGTACAAATACGTTCAACAAAAGGTGCAATCGATAATGATGGTATAACATGTGATACAGTTTTAATGAAAAATGAAAATGAAGATTATGAATTATTAACAGATGAAAATGATGTTACTATTCAACAATCATCATTTCATCCTGAACAAACATCATCATCATCACCAATAATAATACATTTAAATAATTTACAACGACATCGATCAAATAGTGATGGATATGTTTTAAAAGTTTTATCATCAAGTTATTTTGCTGATAATAAATCATTGAAATAAATGAAGAATTTATTTATTATTATTATTATTAATTTTTTTTTGTATTATTGAACTAATTCATTGAATTAATGTAAAAAAAAACACAAGTTCTTTTTCTCTTTTTTTTTTCTACATTCCTCTGTTATTTTATGTTAATAGCAAAAAAAAGAAAAGAAAAATAAACTATAAAGATTTTATTAATAACTATTGAGTTTTAGTGAATGATATTTTTTTTTTGCTTTTTCAAAATATGAAATGACTCTGGACAAGTTACTAATAGTTGTTTGTCTCGAATCATTTGTCCTATAACATGTCGACTAAACTGTGAGATATATATATTCTTAAGCTGAAGACTGTCTTTCTATCCAGAGAGCTACGGTTAATAATAATAGTAGGGAAGATATTGGAATAATGAATCTGCCGCTGCCGGGCAAAAGTATTCTTCTTATCGCTTTTATGGAGACAAAATTAAGTAGTATCAAGACACGTTGTGCTCTTTTGCAAAACAAAAAAACAGATAACAAATCTCCAATTGATCAAGTATTCGTTAACCCGGGACTATATGCATTATGTAGGCCTTAATAAGCAACGAATAATCTGCAAAGAATAAGTGCTGTTAGCTTATTCCTACTGAGACACTGAGTTTTGACTTGAATCATTGCACAGAGAATGAGTTTAACGAGAATAGTCTATTGTAAAATCTTTAGATCTTTTCATTATTCCTATTCCAAAGTAAAAATATCGAATCTATCGGTGTATATGAACAATGTAAAAGATACCCTTTTTTATCAAAGCTCGTCTTTTATGCAAATTTTTAAGTCAAAATTTAATTTTTCAGCTATCTCTGACAGAGACCACGATATTGTGCTGAAAAATTCAGTAGGTAGCAATAAACTAACAACATGGAACTCTTTGCAGGTGGTTTCTTCTATTCACGTATCGTTTGACAATTTAAACATTCGATCTATCACAGTAGCTGGAAGTACTAATCAAGACGAACGATCCAATCAACTTTATAATTCGTTTTGATTTCTTTGTCAATAATGATCAAATATTTTATATTGTTGACTATTGAATAGAAGATCAATGAAATTATTGCTGACAAGAACGCTCAAGGCATTTTTGGTGAATCAATTGAATTATCCAACAAATATGATTATTGACACAAGCAATAATTTCTTATTATCTGTAAACATAGTAGTGAAAAAGTAATACGATACTCTCGTTGAAATAATATCTATGAGCAAACTATGATCTACGATATTGATTCTTTTGGTTTACCAATGAATAATTAAGTTTGCAACCTCAATAAACATGTAATAAGACAATAACGAGTAGAAATGGTCAACAAAAATTTCAGATTTTTAAAAATCATCATGTCATGGTATGTTGATCTAAAGGAGCCGCTAGACATGGCAGTTCGATTGAAGAAAATAGATAAATAAACAATCAAATTAGCTCAGTAATCGAATGAATTTTACCATTAGACTGACGGCACAATCATTGAATACAAAAAGTCAATTCCTACTCAAGCTAAAGTTCATAAATGTTGTGCTTCAATTTCGAACAAAACTAGTCTACGATGCAAAAGTATTCACACAAATGTCTGAGTATGCTGCAAAGCAAAGATCTATCTGATATTCTTGATTTTATTTTTATTCGGCAGACTAGGACAAACAGTCTAGACAAATGTATTAAGAAATAATACTTTTCATCATTGAACGTTCGGCTTCAAAATTTTTCGAAGTTTTTATGCTGCCAAATATCCCATGACGACCTAGGTCAACTATTACGAATCACCGTAACATTACCATAAACGGTCGTTTTTGTACCTTATTGAGTCATATACGATACCACATTCTCACTGTTAAACGCTGTAATGTTGCCGTATTCTTCGACTAGGGAAACATCCTAGCATCTAGGATGATTATTCCGAGCGTCGGAAACGTCTATAAAATGACGTTTTACTGCATTAATTTTTACTGTAATCTACAGAGCATCTTTGCGCTAGCAAGTGGTCATCGTTTCTCCTATGGTTTTTGCCGTTTTCTTCGACTTGAACACACATCGCAAAACAATCTGATATTAGATATAAATGATTGTTATTATGATACAAAAATTAAGATGTTTCAATAAATACTCTCAAATAGATAGTAACATATAATAAGAACAAAATTAAAATTTATCTTATGTTGATTGTTTTTCTAATTCTTGTTCATAAATAATATTATCTTCATGAATTTGTTCAATAAGACTTTCATGTATATGTATTTGTTTAGTTTGTTCCATTTCTTCAATACGTTGTTTATCAATACGTTTATAAAAAAGAATATAAGGTGTAGCTGATGTATATTGTGCACAATTTTCAATCATTGCTTCATATGAAGATATTTGTACAAGATCATCATTTAATAAAAACCATTCATCATTTGAAAAATAATCTTCTTGTTCATGATTATTTATTTTTGATAATAATGGTTGTTTGATTTCTCTAGCATATACATAATAATGACCACCATGAAGTGTATAACCAGTATGAACAATAATAAGAATAAGACAATATTTTATTAAAATTGAATTATTTCGTAAATTTTCTAATGGATTAATATTAACATTGAGTATTTTAGGATAATTTATTTTAGTAAAAATTTTACGAAATGTATTTGTTTTTTTATCATATTCAAAACGATTTAAAGATAATATTAAATATTCAGGTGCTGTTTGAAGAATAATATATCGTTCAGCATTTTGTAATGATCTATTTTAATGATTTTATCTTATTTTTTTTCGTTCTTATTGATTTTAAAGAAAATTAATAAAACATACCGACAATGTTCACATCGATATTGATTATCATCTTTTAATTCTTCTTTTTGAAAATAACAATCAAAAACAAATTGAAGATTTGATGAATTATGTATTATATTATTTGTTATATTAATATAAGATGATGGTGGTGAATGTGATCGAATAGAAGTATTTGAAGATAAATTTGGTAATGAAAATCGATTTATAGTATTAGATTGAACAAGAGATGTAGCAATCGATTTTATTTGATCATCGTCTGATGTTGAATTTCTATTTGATGCTGCATAAAATTTTAAACCATTTTTCATTATTGATATAGGTATAGTTGATTGATTATTATTATTATTATTATTATTTAAATTATCATATTGATTATCCAATATTGGAATTGGAAGAAATAAATAATTACTTGTTTCTTGACGATAAGATTCAATTGAACAACGTTGACATCGATTTATTTGACAAGTACGAATTGTAAAAAGTCGTTCAATTTCATTTGATAAAGATTTTTTTTCTTCATCTTTTATTGTATCAAGTAAATAACCTAATCAAAAAAATTATATTATGTAAAATATTTTTCATTATATATTTTATTTGTAAATATCGAAGGAAAACATCAATGACATTTTCTTCAAAGTATACTATGGTAGAGATGCCCATAGCGGCAGATTTTCAGTCGCGATGTCCTAGTCGACTCTCCCCGACGAAATCACCGTGGAGTTCCCTGAAAAATGCGAAATTCCGGTCGTGAGTCCCCGGGGGAGTTCCTCTAAAATTTTCATAAATTTGAATTTTTCAGAGAATTCCAATGGTGACTTATGGAGAGATCCTGATAATACTCATCAATTCTCTGAGGAGTCTCTGAATCCCCTCTTAACTCCCCCAGGAACTCACGACAGGAATTCTTCTAGGGAGTCTCGACTAGGATGGACATCTCTGTCATCCGTATATTCTATTACTATGGAAATAACAAACCAAGAAATTCAGCACAATCTTGTTGTTCATTGATTGTAAACCAAGTTGGTCGAGCAATTTGTACCTACACACAATATAGGTATTTTCCGAGAATAAGATAATAGAAAATTAAATTTACAAGATTAACTGCATTAATATAAGGTCGTTTTGATAGATTAAGTTGAGCAAAAATAATTTGTAATTCACTTAATATAGTTTGTTGATTAAAATGATATTCAAGAATATATTTTCGAAATAAATCACATTGATATAAAGCTTGTAAAATAGAATTAACATAACATGTATTACCTAAATTAATAATACCAACACGATTTTTTATTTTATTTTCATTATTAAATATAATTGAATGATATTTAATATGAATATTTTTATGATTTAATAAAATATTTAAATCAGGTTGTGGAAATTTATAAAAAATTTCTTTTAATATTATTTCATTTGATATATCATATTCAGGATGAATAGCAATACCCATATGACATAATTCAATAATTTTCATTTTAAGATCATCATTATTATTTATATTTAATTGTTGAAATAAATTTGATAAATAATTAATTATATATTGAAATGTTTCTATACGTTTATCATAACGAACAAACCAAAAAAGAATTTTTATTGCATTATCATAAGTTTCATAATAGAATAAATGATTAATAAGAAATAATATTGTTTCATCAATTAATTTTCTAAGATATTCATGTTGATTAAATTTAACTAAAGCTGTACATAAACCAGTTATCCATGTTTCATATGGGATATGTTGAATAAGTTGTATAGGTGCATCAATAAATTCAATTAAATATTTAATCATTATTGAAAGACGTTCACCATTAAGATGACCATCAGTAAACATTGTTTTTAATATTATATCAGCAGTATTAAGTTGAATATGAGGAAAAAGAGAAAGTATTGCAGAACTAAATTTTATTTTCGTTTTATTGAAATTCATTATTAAATCTTTATCAGATGATTTATCAGTTGACATTATATCAAATAAATATTCAATTGATCGAAATTGAATTGGTGTTATTCTATCTTGACTATAAAATGAAAAAGCAAAAAATTTCATCATAATCATTTCGAATGATCGATATTGTGTTCATGAGTAGAATTTTAATAGACTCCAAATATGTGGGAGAAAATATTTGAATTAAATCTCGGATCTTCTATTATGTGCAAGCGTACCCAGATCTTCGATTGTTTCTCATTTATTGTTTAGCTGCAACTCTGGACAGAAGCGCAGAGTTCTTGTTGTCAATTGCTTAAACTCCTCTTTCACGCTAACTAATTCCAAGAGTAGATGTATGTCATAATGTAGTCATTTAGCCATGAGAACGTAATTTTTTTTCAAAAATCCAAAGAGATTTTTAGGGTTTCATTTTGTAGTTTAGCCTTCTGGAAATCAGACACATTTTCATGTAAAAATACCTAATGAAAATTCAAATTTTGCTAGAGATTAATTAATTAAAAGATGTTTTTTTACGGCGGAGAAGGAATTTATATCAAACAAAAGTCGTTATGTTTTCTTTTTTTTTGAGTCTTTGTCATAAGTAGGTTTTTATTTTTCGTTTCTGAGCGACATACATCTAATATCGCTTAATCTGGATATCTATCGAAGTTTTAGCACTTTACATTGTATGTCTTATATAAAATTTGAATCTATTTGTAGGATTAAAAAATTTGAAAAAACGATTCGAAATTTTAACCACGCTACAGTCGAATGTTGAGTGTATTTCAATGAACTCCAAGAACTCTTTTCTATAATTTTACAATTCAATAGATATAGGTTCTTGAGTAGGAAGCAGTAGGCCCACAAAAGTCTGTAACCGGATCCGGACCTACAGTTCCCTACGACATAGAGAAACAAACTAATATTTAATGAAACACAATCTATAACGAGTGTTGAAGTATAAGGGTAAAAATTTGGAACCTTCTCCCCTATAAAATCGTGACAAATGCTAAGTTCTGTAGGCATTGCGCTAATAGTTTTTTTTTTATTCAATTTACTTTTCGTGTGTAGAATTCTCTGTTGATGGATTTTGTTTCCAAACAACAGTGATTGTTTTGATAATTATATTAATTAATTTTAGATCATAAATAAAATCTTTAGAAGATTTAACATTTAAATGATGATGAAGAAGTGTATTAATAACATAAATTGAATAATCAATAGAATCTTTTTGATTAGTAAAAATAAATTCTTTTGATAGAAAATTTTTCGTTGTATTTTCATAGAATTGATAAAGTAAAGTAGAAAAAGCTGCAAGCCAATCAATATCATATGATATTTGATGTAAATATTTAATAAAATAAGTATCAACAACAAAACGATAGAATTCTAAACCAATATTAGAAATAAAATTTAATGGACAATAATAATATAAAAGTTCAATATATCTTTAACAAAAAAAGAAAAATTATTTTTATTAAAATTTTCACAAAAAAAAAAACTAACCGCATTAAATAGACAGGTTTTCGTATAGATAAATTGAATAATTGTTTAAATCGTTTATGATCATTTAAAAATGAATAATAAAAATTTTCATTTTTAACTAATGTATTTATAATTAAAATAAAAAAATTATCATTCATTTTATCATTTAATAATAATTGTTCAAGATATTCAATAACAAGATAACCTTCTTTATTTCGATTAATTATATTTGATATTATTTGTGGTCTCATCCATATTTGATAAAATTTTTCAGTAAATATTTGAATATTTTCTAATGATATTTCACGATATTCATATTCATTATAAATATGTTTAATTGTTTTCAAAAGTAATGATTCATTTTCTACTAATGTTGATATTCGAGAAGAAGAAGAAGAAGAAGATGACATTTATATTTTTTTATAATTAAATTTAATAATCATTATCTAGATTTTTTTTTTCTTTCACATACAATATTAATAATATCAAATTAATGTTCAAGAAGAAAAGTTGAAAAATAAGATTAATTATAGAATAATTTAGGTTATCATTCGATTATGAGAGTTTTATATTTTAGATAGAAATAGATTATATTAAAGCGCCAAGGAATTTTTTGTCTATTTCCTTTAAATCTTACTGAAATGATATTCAAGTGAAAAGACTAAATCGATATACAGCCTGATACAAAAATCTTTCTCCCCTCCTCTCGTCGGATCTTAATCACTATAAGGGACATAACTCTGAAAATTTGTGTGCCCATAATTAGAGACTTCAAAATCGGATTCCAACTCCGATGGAGTCGGAGTCGAAATTCTAACAACCTCTAATAAACTTTTGCTATTTGATACTACAATAACTTTATTTTCCATATTAATAAACAAAAATAGCACTCACTACATATATCAAGAATGAATTTCAAGACAAAAGCAAAATGGGTCACCTTTTGGCTATAACATTTGAAAGATCAACCTCAGAAAAACATGATACCATTAATCAAAAAATATTTCAGTACCATCTAAAGTACAATAATTCTCGTTGTCATCAATTATCGATTGCTTGGTAGAGTCTTGCACGAAGTCAATTTAGGAGTCATCATCGGAGTCGACTAAATTTTATGTTAAAAATTTCGCTTTAGCTCAGGAAATTTTTTGAATTATAGGTTTTGTTCTCTGATATTTACTGTACAAACTGATGCATTTTGAAGGTTCCAATGACATGTTATCAAAATCTATGGACATGAAAGAAAGTCGAAATCGAAGCTTCGACTTTCTTTCATGTCCATAGGTTTTGATAACACATCGTTGAAACCTTCAAAACGTATCAGTTTATACAGTAAATATCAGAGAACAAAATCTACAATTCAAAAAATTTCCTGTGCTAAAGTGGAATTTTTAGTGTAAAATTTAGTTGCTATACATGTTCAAAATTAAACAGTAAAATACATCAGAGGTCGTTTGTTTTCGAGAAAAAAAATTTCAAAGTTTATCGGAGTCAAAAAATAGAAATTCTCGAAGTCGGAGTCGGGTTTTGGAATAAAAAAGACCTGACTCCGTAAGGTCACTACCAATAATCCACCATGAATGTAGTTATATAAGATTTTCATTGAAAAATTAAAAATAAGAGAAAAAGAGTTTTTGAATGCCACTTACGAGGTAAGTGTGGCTCGTCAACCGACTTCATATTTTGCCCATAAACGAGTCCCGATGAGACTAATAGAAATCTATAAGGGTTCGTCCTCATGTATTGTCGTTCCCTAAGTTATTACAATTTTACTGAGTTTGTTATCCCTAATAATGTATTTGTATCATTAGCTGCTAAAATATTTTTATGTGTATCAATTAGTACAATGAATAGAATATTAACTGATCTACAAAATCGTTTAACAACAGAACAATATCAATGGAAGAACTATCTGATTTAGATAATGATCTAAAAGATTTAATTATTGATTTTTGAAAAAGAAAATTTTTCGGTTTAATTTAGATTTATTGTTTTCTTCTCAAAGTATTTTTTCATATTGTATTGATAACAGAAGAAGAAGAAGTGTAATTATGCTGTGAAAAAAAAATTAATAAGAGTTTGTATTACCGAAAGTGAGAAAAAAAAAGGATGGCGAACTTTTGAAATATTTTGTATTATGATAATATAGAATATTATTTGAAACATGAATTTTTATTTTTTTTCAAGGTGTAAAAAAAGTGAATAATTCATCAATGAATTGTTCCATAAATGTCTTTTTTCGTTTAGGCCATATAGCAAGTAAGAATCGATAGATAACAAAAATTAATATAATTATAATGATTATATACATAAATATACGCCAACGATATGCATGTCTTTCATTTAATGATATTTCATGATCTTGTTGTTCAATTAATCGATGATATCTTCGATTTAATAAACCAGTTGTCTTATTTCGACTTTTATGTTGTCTTGTACTTGTATGATAATGATCACCCATACCTTGTTGTTGTATATGTATAGCTGAATTATTTGATGGTATTGATAATGGATGAATATGTTCATTAGGTGTTTTATTTTTTCTTCTTATACCACAAACAGTTGTAGATTCTTCATCAGCATCTTCATTATTAGAATCTTTTCGTATATAATCACCTATTTCTTGTCTAGATTGTTGTTTTTGTTTAATTGATGATGATATTCTTATATCTTCATTATTTAATGGTGTTGTATAAATTTCTTCATTTGTATTTTCTAATTTTGATAATGATGATATATTTGAATTTTCACATTTATCTTTTTGTTTAGTTAATCTAGATGAATGATGAGTTTTTGATTGATGTAAAACTGTTACATTATTATCAATTAATTGATCAATATTATTAATCATTGTAGCTGTTGTTGTTGTACGTTTTGATGAATTAATTCGTTGTTGTTGTTGTTGTACATCACGATTATATGGATTATGATTTGATGTTGTTTCAATTTTTGATATTATCGTTGGATTAGAATTTATTTTAGATGTTGTCATTTAAAACAATTCGATTAGATAATAAAAAGCATCTTTTTGTATTAATAGAAGCGCGTAAAGTGCAAAAAAAAACAAAATTTATCAAGCGGGAATTTTAAGATGATAATTAAAATTAAAATTAAAGTAAAAACGAAAAATAAATATTATTATGAACATAATTTATTTGCAAAATGGTTTTTTTTTAAAATAATCCTTGATTAACAATATTTTTCATGATGGCTTAGATCATTTTCAATCTCATTCCGTAGTGAGTAATATGAAAAAATATTCTTTTCTAAAATTATTTTATTATTGATATAAATTCATAAATAATACGATGTTTATGATAAAAACGTTATTAGAATTAATAACAAGTCAAAAAAAAAAAACATTTCGCAGTCGTTTCATTGATAAAAGCCTACAGGTTTTGTTATGGCCTTACGTCTGAACGGGATCTTAATAACAGGAAAGTCGATTTTGAATGAAAATCAATGATTACATATATACTCACGAAATCGATACGTTTTCAATTCTAAAATTTCTGCCGTTGGAAATATCTAATCATATATCATCTTCCGAAATGAATCACGGTAAGTAGGTTTCCGGCTTTATACAAATAAACTAACAACATACTGTAGCAGACAAAATGTCTGAAATATTGTATTAAGAATTTATTTCAATAGTACGAGATTGTCCGGACTACTTAAATGCAAGGAGAGTTATGATAAAGGACGTCTACCTTTGCTTTTAGCTTGAAAAAGATTTCTCTACTAAATTTTTCCTTCTTTGTAATCAAACACATGACTAATTCTTGATATTTTAGATTCACTAAACTATTACTGAGTTATAGTCTCCAATTTCCCCACTCGAATGATCATGGAAAAATGACTACAATTTCAGAAAAGATCGGTGAACTTCAATGGAATTAATATAGTAAATAATACAAAATGAACCGACCCAAAAAGTTCTCTTAAGTTCATGTCTCAGATTTAACATTCTCAGTACTGTAACTACGAAAAAAAAATCAAATGTAAATTGTACATTATTCAAGACGAATAGTTCATTCATGGGCCACTCAATACCAATTCTATTAAATCGATGCTAAGGAGTTAAAAAGTTAAGCTATTTTGAATATTTGATTAATTCCAAATCAATACAATAAGTTATTATTATTATTATTATTATTTTTTCTTCTAATCCCAATACGATTTATCTCTATGTCAAACAAAAACCAATAACTATTCACAAACAAATCAAATTTTTTTTTTCACGTAAAATTAAAGGAAAAGAATGAAGTATTAAAGTAAAGTAATATTAACTAGACAAAAAATGAAAAGAAAAGAAAAGAAAAAGAACAATACATAATTGATTGTATTCTAATAAATAATAAGAAATAACTATCACTTATGGATAAAAATAATAAGTATTGAAAAACAAAGACAAATAAGAATACATATATATTTAAATGTAAGTAATTTTCGATTACGTAAACATTCAATTATTTTAACAAATAGATCATCATTTGATGTTGATGTTGAATTTATAGTTGATGTAAGTTTTTCAACTGATATTGTTAATTTTTTCTTTTTTATTTTACGAGATTTTAAAATATTTTGATTATGAAGATTTTCACTATAAAAAAAATTTTCAAAAAAAAAATACGAAAATTTCAAAAAAAAAACAAGATCTACTAACTCATTAATAGATGAAATCATTTCTAATGAATTTTGTTGTTCTTGTATAATAGGAGATGATAATAATGATTCTGTAATAACAACATATTCTTCTGAATTATTAGTTTCAATTGTTGTTTGTTCTAATTTTTCAGTTGAGATTGCATTTTCTTCTTCTTTCAAAAGTTGATTATTAGTTAAACTAGAAAATAATTCATACAGTCTGAATTTATGCAATTTAAACAAAAAAAAAAAAGAAAGATATTCTTATATGAAGTTAGGATGAGATAATCTCCTAGAATATATTCTCAAATTTCGTCAGTTTGTGGAGAATACTTCCAAGTGTCTGAATATTTTTATGTTTTTTGTTAGACTTGCGCATCAAATATCATATTCTTACGGCTCATGTGTTGCAAAAAAAATTATTGAGTAAAGATCATTTTAATATTTGTTATTACAATTTCGATAGTAAATATTAATCCTTTTTTTTTTTTCATCAATAACAGAATTATTGAATACATACGTAGCGCATTAGAAAAATTTCCGAACTTGTTTTATTAAAAAACAACAATAATAAACACTGCTATATTTATACTATTGCCTATGCATGATTCATACATTTCTCTATCTATAGACATCATAAGGAATGTATAGTGATAGTTTACGATGATTGATTTCCTTTATCACTCACTACAGTTACTGAATGAGATTATTGTTTTAACGATGAATATTCATACGTCTAGGTGTCAATAACATAACTGTTAAAAATTTTTAGAAGACTGATGATGTAAAAAGATCGAATCGCATCTAGATAAATAACAGACACTGTTCACATGTTATAATTACAGTATATAGTATTTTATAATTTGAAGATAATATATCTATTGAATAAGCACTTGTGCATATAAAATTTCATTGAAAAAATAAAGGTGTCTGTGTTATAAGTTAAAAAAGACCAAATATAGATCCAACAGCCGCTAATATTTAGTGATAAGAGTTTTCTTTTGATGCAAAAATATCTGATCTTTTCAACTTACAATACGAACATCTCCAATTTCAGGAAAACAACATTTACTTCGAAAAGAAAAATCGGTCAAGTTTTCATGAAGAACTTTTCCCTCGTAAACATATTGAAAAACTTAGATTTGGATGAAATACTCAAAGATAAATAAAACGCTCCTTTTTCATATATGTATAAGTTATTTCGGTTGGAAAACTCTGAAAAATAGTTAGAAACTTTCAATCCAAAAAGATCACCGAATTGGTATCTCTAATTTTCTGACAAATTTACGAAATTGTCCGTTTCAAATTATTGACTTCAAGTATTTTCAATTTATGCATTATAATTATACTGTATATTTATTAGATAACCTCAGATCTTATATATTAAATATAAATCTATTGATATTGGTAAGAAGAATTCTTCGATTCCGTCAAGATACACTCGATTCATTAATCAAAAACTTGTCTGATTTCTTTATTGATTAATTTATCTATTGTCATAAGAAATATCTGGACAATGACAAGGCCTTTATATATCTCGACTTATGTAATAGAAACAAAAGATAAGATTCTCTTCAATATCATTAATAATGAATCATTTCTATTTTATATTTGATTTTCTATAAGAATTAGCAGCAATCGAAAATTATCATTTTTAATACTAAGAAATTTTCATATGAAATGAAACTATTTTTCCAAATATAATCAGATATCTAACTCGTCTTAACAATTTCTATAGTGGAACTTTTCAATCATTTATTAGTAAAATCAACAACTATTCACATGATTTATTGATTGATAAAAGTCAAAACATTTAACTATTACTTTCAGATACATAAATCAAATATATATATATAGATGAACGATAACAGATAGATGTCGGCAATTTTTGTCTGGCTAATCGTATGGTAATTCTGATAAATCTATATATCCTATGGCTACAGTTCACACCTTACATCATCAATCATCATTTTTTATTATTGTTGCATATTTAGAATGAAAATTTTCTTTTTTATACCTTTCAAAATTTTCCTTTTCATTCAATTGATTTATTAATTGTTCTTGATGTTGTTTATCTTCATCATAATCATTATCTTCATTGATTGTTTCTGAATATTGTAAATAACAATTAAATGAATATAAATAAAATTTTGTTTTTACCTATATTTGTTGTTTCTAAAACAGTTTCATATAATTGTTTTGTATAAGGATTTGTTTTTGTTAATTTTCCAATTTGATTTGTTTTTAACATAAATAAAATTTTTTGTTTTAATTCTAAAAAAAATCGAATTAAACTTTTTTCTGTTTGATCTGTATAATCAATAATTGTTATTGTATTAAAACAATAATTTGATAAATTTAAACATAATTCAAAATATTCTTTTTGATTAGATAAATTAAATTCATCTATTTGTTTTATATATTGAAAATATTCTAATGTACCATATTTTAAACTACATGAAGATAAATATTTAATAATTAATGATAAATATGTATTATTAAGCCATGTTTCAATATAAAAATCTTTTATATAAATTATATTTGTATTTAAAATTTTATTTAATAAATTATTAATCCATTTAAGTAATATATTACGATCTTGTCCAAATGAATAAATTGTATTATCATTATATATTATTTTATTTGTTGTTATATGAAATGATGGAAAATCAAATATTTTCATTATTATCCAAAGTAATGCTAAAATTTGTTTACGATTACCTGAAACAATATCATGTGGTGTTATATTAATATGTTGCATATGTAATTTTAAATAATCTAATACATATTGTACATTTGTTAATGAATGAAAACGTGTATGACCATGTTCACGTTTTAATTTTGTTGATGAAAATATTTCAATTAAATCAATTAATATATGTCCATTAGATAAATCTTGTGATAAATCTTTAACAAATTTTTTTTCATTCTTTGATGATAAATGATAATTAATAAATTTTAAAAAATTTGATATTTGTATTTCATCCATACGATTATGTAATTGTTCAATACGTTTTCTTGTATAATAATCGTTTGAATAATCTAATGAAGATGATAGCACATATGTTGTTAGTTGGTCGTTTTCTTTCGAGTCAAATGCTGATGATATGGTATCAGTATTGATAGAAATACTATGACTGTTACTGTTAGTGATCAATAATGTTGAAGAAAAAGTCGACGATAGGAGAGGGCAAGGTTGTGTCGATTTGTCAACATTTGAGGGACACAATGTGGTGGGAATCGAGGACGAACACCATTCGTGTCTTTTACTATATGACATTATTGATAGTTGATCAGTATTGCTTTATGTAATTATCATGATCAATGATATCGTCATTGACTAGATTCAACAACAATAGAATAGATATCATAACAAGTTGATTTGTTACATTATAAGATATAGAAAGAAAATTATAGAATAGATCATTTTATGAATCTGTCTTTAAGTATTCGATATTTTTTTATCATAACAAAATTTTATATTAAATTTTTTTCAAACGTAAACAACTACTTTTATCATTCTTTTACTTCTTGACTTTCACTTACCATCATTCAAGTTTCACTCAGTACTTTTTTGCATCGATATATATATATATATATTACAATTTATGTTTTTCTGATTAATATTCTTTACATATGATTCCATTTTTTGTCTCTAAGAAGAAAAATAAAACATTCGTTTTCAATGTCACCATCTGTTCACAATATTCTCATTCTTCTTTCTTTTTTTTTTTTGAAATTACACAAAGAACGGAATGAAATATCACTATGCACATTAGAAATAATCTTTTACATTCATACTTTCGTTTTTTTTTCTCTCTAATCATTATCTATATATATATATATATAGAAATATCAGCAGCCAATATTTGTTCACAAGAAAAGGCTAAACTCAGTTTCCTCAGTCACTTGTTGATAATGCTGTGTACACAGAGAGCTTATTTTACCTTGGCCATAGCATACCATATCTATTACGTGAATAATTATATATATATAATATTTTCATCTATCAAGTCAAAATTGATATATATCTTATGTTTTAATTGAATTGTAGAAAAAAAAACCAAGATTTATATATATATATATCTTTTTTTGATATATTCAATCTCAAGACGAACAGGATTTTATTTTGTATTTTAGATACATAACAAACAAAAAAAAAAAGAATTTAACCACGTAATGAACTAGGTGGTGCAGGTGGTGCTGGACCATATGATCGTCCAGTTGATGATGCATGATCACTTGAATATTTATTTGATTCAAGTTTAAAAGCAAATTGAAGAAAAAACTAATTGAAAAAATAAATAAATAATGAAATTTTTCTAAATAAACATACTTGTTTTGTTTCTGTATTATAATATGTCCAAAATTTTCCTTCGGATTTATCAACTTCACGACTTGGAATCTTAAATAATCAAAAAAAAAAAGACAGCATTCGCATGTTAACTAACAAATAAAAAAATTACTTTAAATGCAATTGTTTCATAAGGTTCAGCAGCAAAAAGTAAATATTGCCAACGACGATCTGGTGCTTCAACATGTTGTTCAAAACCAGACATAAAACGATGTTTAGGTACAATATTATCTGATATTTCAGGATAATCAATTTGAAAAAGAAGTGATTGTTGTTTGGTATCTAAATTTTATCAAAAAGAAGTTTATATTAACAGAAATTGTAGATTTCTATATTTTACTAATAAAATATTATTTAAAAATAATCCTTTTAACTTTCTATTACTTCTAATAATTGAAGGTTCTATATAATATTCGAGAAGCATCTCGATTCAATGCTTTATTATTCCAAACAGATAGTTTCTATGAAAAGGTCAAGAAAATGACCCAATAGGAGGTAAAGAATTAATAAGAACAGTATTGATATAAGATGTTAGCAGACATATAATTCTTTCAGAATGTGGATGTGAGTCTTCTTTTTATTCATACTTTACTAATAACATTGTATGTGTCTGTATTAGGGAACTGTGGGTCCGCATTTTGTAGACCCGGACTCGAATGCAGGCCCTTAGCTTCTTAGTCTGTATAATAATCAAAAGAAAATTATTCTTTTTATACTTTCTTTATATCTCAAATGTAATTCAATTGATGATTTTTGAAACAAAAGAAAAAATAATAATAAAAAACTGTTCTTTTAAATATTTATCGAAGTGAAAATAGAATTTGTTATTTCGTGCGTATCTTTCGTATACCCGATTGACGAAATAGAACTTTACCTGGATCACGTTGTTTTGTAACTATAATAAAGAAAAGAAAATAAATTAAACAAAAATTTTAATAAATCAAAAATCTACCTTTATAACCTGGTCGACCAATTTTAATAAATTTACGAACTTCATAATGTGGTTTTATTGGTTGAACTATATCAGATGATTGTTGATTTTCACGAGCAGCACGTCGAGCTCTAGAATAAATTTATTCAATATTATAATAGATATGAAGTATATTTCCTATTCGAACAGAAAAATTTCAAATGAAGAACTCAAACTTGATACTTTAGCCTTCATGATAAAAAAAAATTCAGTTAACCTAAACTGTGAAATAAACTAGAATTTGAACAATTGATTCAACTAATTCGATAAAATACCTTTTTTTTTTTAAAGATTTTAACTAATGAATAAACTTATTCATTCATTAGCAAAAAAATAAAAAATAAAACTTACAAATTCGATTGATGTTTTTTTCCTTGTGTATGAGCCAAATAAGAACCTTCATTATTATGTAAAGTTAAACAAAGTTTACATTCATATGTTCCTAAATGATTTTTCATAAAATAAGGATCTTTAGCAAGATTAATTGTTTCAAGAGCCAATTGACGGAGTCGTTCACGTCGATCACGATTCGATTCCGATGCACTGGCAACACCACCACTACCAGTTTTACCACCAGCACGATGTTGAAAATCCATGATTCAATAAAGATGAAAAACTATTGCAATAACTAATAATAAGAAATAAATTGTTTTCTTTTTGAAAATTTCGAAATGACAAAATCTTTTATTTTTTATTGGTGAATAAATTTAACTAATGAAAAATTTTCTTTCAAGACCTCTATGAAACATAAAATTATTTTTATATAAAAAGAAAAAAAATTTCTTTTTTATTTTAATTTTAACCAATTAAAAAAAAAGAAAACAAAATTTTCTTTTTCTTCTTATTGTTTACTTTCCCAATCTTGTGTCATTGGAAAAAAAATTGCATACATTACACATTCATTAGTCCACCTTTATTCATTCAATATAGAAAAAGAAAAAAACAACACCAAATGATTTCGGGCAAAATTATTTTAAAATCAGCTACTAAATTATCACTTGATAAAAGGTAATTATATTATTATTCATTATTTTAATCAAATATTTCAAAATAGATTTACTGAAATTGCTAAACAAACACCAACAATTCCACCACGTATACAACAACAAGCTAATGTTATTATTCCATATTCAAGACAAGAATTATTTGGAAATAAACGACCACATGTTTTAACTATTGCACAACGACTTAAAAAAGTAATTTATTAATATTCAGATTTAGAGGAAAAAAAGAGTGTTATAGAAATATATATGTCACTTTCAAGTAGTTTCGAATATTTGCTGATAACTTATGACGAGTACTATTAAATGCTATATCTTAATATTTTATTCGTTCGCCTTTAGAAGGAATAAGAGACAAATATCTTTTCTTTTCATGGACATTACAAAATTCTTTACAATATCAACATCAATGCTTTTGTTTCTCACTTTCATATTTTACGATCGACCAAATATTTTCGATAGGATTGACATCTGAACTATTAGATGGCCACTCTACATTGTAGTTGATGAATCGTCTAGTAATATCGTTAGTGTGTTTTCGGATCATTTTTCTGTTGTAAACATCAATTTTGATGAAATTGTTCTAAAACAAAGAAACAAACAGTAAAACTGCGTTGTCTGCCTTTATTACTTCTGTCTAGCAGCAAGAAGAAGATATTTTTCAATAATATGAACCATCAAGGTTGCATCTGAATGTGTGATAGGTTAACATACCTCTCATACGAACAGTGTTTCGAAAAAGTTGAAATGAAGATTCATCAGGAAATATTGTACGTGTAAAATCATCATTTTGATATTGTTGAGTCTATTGAATATGTCGTTTTTTTTTCTTCACGTTTTAACATATTAATACTTTTTGATAAAATATTTCTATAATCATATTCATGAAGATGATTTTTGATAATTTCTCTTTGATTTCTTTGAAGGTTAGTTTATTGTTACATCGAATATATTGACTTACAACTTTTTTTTCTATTCTACTAATGAAGGAACATTCCCAAGTGATCTGCTTCGTTTTGATTCATTCATACCTCATTCGATAGAATACATTGAGATAAGAAAAAGCCTAGAAGTATTCGTGCCCTTTGGCCTACCGGTGAAGAATTATGACCGTTTTATTGAAATTTTCGACGAAAACGAACATGCCTTTTCTGAGTTATTCAATTTTCAAAAAAAAAACCAGCTGTTTACCATAGGAGGGGCACAATAAGTTGAACATTGAATATCTCGAAAAAGACACGTTCGTTTTTCGTTGAAACTTTTAGAACTATCTAATGACTATAAAATCTATCTATAAATAGAATTTCAGTTAAACGGTCATAACTCTTCACTAGTAGGCCAATGGCACGAATACTTCTAGGTTTTTTCTTATCTCAATATACTCTATCGAATCAGATATGAATGAATCAAAACGGAGCAGATCACTTGGGAATGTTCTTCCTCATAAGGACACATGTGGTCGATCATTTCTGCTTCGGTGTTTAAGTGAATTTGTCTGTTTCATGATGAATAATATGAGTAGTTTGTATGCCTTTATTCGAATAATATAATATTGAAATATGATAGTTTTTTAAACCATCCGATGATGTCATGATTAAATGTATATGTATCGAAAAGAAAAGAAAAGAAATTACACTTCTCGATGGTCAACGTGTAACATAGCTAACGAACATATATTCTTGAAAAATTAAATTTTATGCAAGTTTTCTTTTGAAAATACCTGGATATCAGTCGATAGTACTTATTGAAAATGGTATTAATCATTAACTTCAGAATGCATACAGTATTAGAAATCGTAATAGAGTTTGAAACGAATAGTACATGGACGATCATTCTGAGTTTAAAAATATTCTTTTTCAATCAATTCATAAGTAAGTGAGGAACATAATTAAATTTTCATATATTACTCAGCATTATCAAATGAGAATGAATAGCAAAAGAAAAATACTGTATATAGTGAAAACTAAAATCTCTTATGTTTTATTAGTATGTGTCATTTGTAAAAATTTGTTATGTATTCGATAATATAGAATTACTTTAAATGAATCTATTTCAAATAATGATTATTTTTCTTTTAGCGAAGTATTAACTATCGACTTGGTCTTAATACTAATACAAATGCAAATCGTTTCTATTCAACTCCAAATAAACCACGTGTTTTTCAACGGCTTAGTTATACAAATCGTCGACGTATTGATGGAAGTGGAAATAATTCAGGAGCTAATCGATATTTATTTGGTGGACAAAGTGGTATGGGTATACGTCTTCGTGGACAAGGTCGAATTCGTGGAAGTATGTAATAATTTAAAGATATTTTATTTTATTTTATTTTTTGTTATAATGAATACTTAGCACGAACATTTCGTTCTCGAACACGTGGTTATTTAAATAATAATACAATTAGTCGATATAGTGGTTATTCAATGCGTGGAAATAAAAATAATCGAGGACGACGTTATGCAAACAATAATAATAATTATAATAATAATAATAGAAATTTTAATCGGTAAATAAAAAAAAAAGTAAAAGAGAAAAAAAAACAAATTCTATTTATCATTTATTAGATCAAATCGTGGTCGTTTTGGAAAAAATCCTAATCGTGGACGTGGTCGAAATAATAATAATAATAAAAATCTTACAAGAGAAACTCTTGATACTGATCTTGATAAATATATGGCTCAAACAAAAATTGAAAATGATTCAGTTGATATGAATCTTATTTAATTATTATAATTAAACAACAAGAACAAAAAACAAAAAAAAAA